ACTCCACCTCCCTTCGATGTGCGTTTGCGTACTTCCTCATCCGGTCCTGAGCCACCCTGAGGTTAGCCTTGAGCTTATCCAATGCGCGATTGCGCTCCTCCAGCTGCTGGTCCAATGTTGCGTTGGCTGTCTTCTGTGAACCATACAGAATGAGCGGGGGTRGGTGTCTCCCATACACGGCCTGAAACGGGGTAGTACCAATGGAGTTGTGGAACGTCGTGTTGTACCAATATTCCGCCCATGCGAACCAACTACCCCATTGCTTCGGGTTTTCGCTGCAAAAACAACGAAGGTAAGTTTCTAAACATCTGTTCACGATTTCCGATTGGCCATCTGTCTGGGGRTGGTAGGCTGTGCTCCGGTGCAGCTTGGTTCCTTGAAGCCTGAAAAGTTCTGTCCAGAAGTGGCTGATGAAGATCTTGTCGCGATCCGAGACAATGGTCCGAGGGAAACCATGGAGGCGCACAACTTCACGCATGAATGTCGCAGCTACTGATTTGGCTGAGTAAGGATGCTTCAAAGGAATGAAATGAGCGTATTTGCTTAATCGGTCCACCACCACAAAGATAGAATCTTGCCCCTGAGACTTAGGTAGGCCTTCGATGAAGTCCATAGAAATGTCCTCCCAAATGCGGTCCGGTATAGCTAAAGGTTGGAGAAATCCGGCTGGGGCGGTTGCGAGGTGTTTGTTCCTCTGGCAGGTATGACATTGTTCCACATAGGTTTTGATCGTGGCTTTCATACTTGGCCAGTAGAGTTCTCCGGTTAGGCGCTTGTAAGTCCGTAGGAATCCCGAGTGTCCCCCAATTACTGAATCGTGATACATATGTAGGATTGCGGGGAGGAGGGAGGAGGTGCGTGACACAACCAATCGATTTTTGTAGCGAAGCACGCCGTGTTGTAGAGAATAGCGGGGAACGCTCTCTGAGTCCCTATGAAGGTCTTCCAAGATCTTGGTGAATTCTGGATCTGCTGCCACTTCTGACTTGATTACTTCTACATCCAATAGAGCTAGGGCCGACAGAGACGCTAGATGGCTGGCAGGAGCCATGCGTGAAAGGGCATCTGCGGCTTTATTTTCCAATCCCGGTCTTCGAAGTCATACCCCAACAACTTCGAGACCCATTTCTGGTATTCAGGTTGAATGATCTTCTGTTCCAGCAGGTACTTCAAGGCTTGTTGGTCTGTCCTGACAATGAACTTTTGACCTAGCAGGTAGGGACGCCATTTTTGGATAGCGAGGACAATGGCCATCAACTCCCTCTTGTAGATGGGCTTCAGCTGCGCTCATGCCGACAGAGTATGGCTGAAGAATGCCACTGCCTTTTGCTTTTGAGAGAGAACCGCCTCTAATCCAAACCCTGAGGCATCTGTTTCAATAACGAATGGCAAAGAAAAATCAGGCAGCGCCAAAGTAAAAGTTACCATCGCGTTCTTTAGTCTTTCAAATGCCTCTGTAGCTGCAGGTGACCACTCATACGAATCCTTCTTCAATAGTTGTGTCAGGGGGGCGGCCATGGCTCCATAATTGGCCACAAACTTGCGATAATAGCCCGTCAAACCCAAGAAGCCTCGTAATTCTTTGAGATTTGCAGGTTGCGGCAATTGGAGCATAGCACGTATCTGTTCTGGGTCGGCTTCCACCCCTTTTGCAGACACCAAGTGCCCCAAGTACTCGATCCTCTCGTTGGCAAATTGGCATTTCTTTAGGTTGGCGCACAAGGAGTGATCCTTCAGGATGTTGAAGACCACCGACAGATGGCAGATGTGGGAATCTGCATCAGAGCTGTAGATTAAGATGTCATCAAAGAAAACCAAGATGAACTTACGTAGAAAGGGACGAAATATCTGGTTCATGAGGGCTTGGAAGGTGGCTGGTGCATTAGTAAGCCCGAAGGGCATCACCATGAATTCATAGTGACACTCATGAGTTTGGAAGGCCGTCTTGGATACATCCTCCGGTGCCATCCGGATCTGATGGTAGCCTGACTTAAGGTCAATCTTCGAGTACACCCGCGAGCCATGTAGCTCATCCAACAGCTCTTCAATGACGAGGATAGGGAACTTGTCGGGTACCGTTGCGTTGTTCAAGGATCTATAGTCTACGCAGAACCTCCAACTCCCATCTTTCTTCTTAACTAGGATCACGGGACTTGAGTACGGGCTGGTGCTGGGACGGATGATCCCTGCCTCCAACATTTCACTGATCAACCTTTCTATTTCTGTTTTCTGGGCATGGGGGTAGCGGTAGGGCCGGCGTTGACCGGTTGTCCCTCCTTCAGCTGAATTCGATGGTCATTGCTACTGTGGGGAGGCAAGGTGGAGGGTGTTTGAAAAACCTCTAGGTATTCGGAGATCAGGTTCCTAACGTCTCTCACCAACCGGCTGCCCACGACGGCCTCGAGGTTCCCTTGTTCTTCAGGTTGAGCTGCAATGGCTCTGAGTTCAATCAAATACCCCTGGTCATGTGTCTCCCATGTTCGTGCTAGTTTCTTGAGTGTGACTTCCATCCTCATTAGTGTGGGGTCTCCCTTCAAGATGATTTTGTGGCCTCCCTTTCGGAAAGACATGGTGAGAGACTGCCAATCCACCTCCATTGTGCCTAAGGTACTCAACCACTGCATTCCCAATACCACATCTAGGTTGCCTAACTCGAGGGGAAGGAAGTTCTCCTTGATAGTTAGCTCGGGTAGGTAGAGAACCACACCCTTGCAGATCCCCTTTCCTCTCACTGCTACGCCTGTCCCCATGATCACTCTATAGTTTGATGTCTCGTGTAGAGGGAGATTGAGGGCTTCTTCCAATTTCTGAGAAACGAAGTTGTGGGTAGCCCCACAATCGATCAGGATCACCACCTCCCTGTCCTCAATCTTTCCTTTCGACTTCATGGTCCCTGGTGTTGAGAATCCCACCACTGTGTTCAAAGCCAACTCTGCAACCTCCTCTACCATTGGTGTCTCGCTTCCTCCCGTTTCCATGTTTTCTTCCTCTCGATCTATGTCCATTTCTTCATCGTCGTGTACCACAAAGACCTTCAATTCCTAACTTTTGCATTTATGACCAATGCTGTATTTCTCATCGCATCGAAAACATAGCCCCTTTTCCTTGTGCCGCTGGTACTTTGTTTCAGTAAGCCTCTTTTGGAACGGTTCCTTTCGTATAGGTTGGGTAGTGGGGTACGTTTTACCCGAAAGGGTAACTGTGCGGGTTGTCAAAGTTGGGGGAAGTCTTTGGCTTGTTGGCCAATGCCTTGGGGTTGCGGTTGGGCTCGGGGTCTTCTGGGGTGTGGACCGAGGTGTTTCTATCTTCAATCAGCTGGGCTTTTTTCATGATTCGTTCGAGGCCCACCGGTTCCCAAAGGATAAGTTCTGCTTTGATATTTGGTTCCAATCCATTGATAAATGTGCTCTCCAACACATCATCGGCTAAATCGGGTAAGGATGCAGACCATGCTTCGAAGGTCTGTCGAGACTCAGTGACCGTACCCTCTTGTCGTATGGACAGGAAGCGGGAAAGAAGATTTCGGTCTCTGGACTCACTAAACCGCTCGAAGATTCTGGTTTTCAGGTCATTCCAGTCGGTAAACTGCCGTCGGTTCTCCGCCCATCGGTACCATTTCAGGGCGGCACCTTCCAAGCTAATGACTGTTACCGTTATCTTCTCTTCGTCGCTCAAATGGTGTATCTCAAAGTATCTCTCCGCTCTAAACAACCAGGAGTCGGGGTCGTCCCCGGTGAGTATGGGCATCTCTACTTTCTTAAATTTGCTGCGGTCCAGTCCCGTGCCATCATCCTTACCCGTCGTGGTCTCCCCTTGTTGCTCATAGTCGTCTTCGGGTTTCTTCCGTTTCATGGTTGAATTCTCATTAGCGACTGTCGTAGGTTGCTGACTTTTCCCTCGAGATACCTCTAACATGAATCCCTCTAGCTTTTTCTGTGTTTCATCGTTCTTGCGACGCTGCTCTTCCATCTGTGCATCGCTTCTCTTACGCTGCTCTTCCAGTTGGGAACTAATCCTCTGCAAGACTTCTTTAATTCCGCTCACTTCCTTCTCTGTCGACTCGCACCTTTCTTCTAGCTGTTTCTTGTTCGTCATTGGAGAGCTTGCCCAAGTCGAACGAGCTCTGATATCAATTTGTGAGGAAACTCCCTCACTTGATAGTATTCAATGGAAATAGAGTTCAATAACAACAACCATTCGAGAGGGTTCCACTCTCCACAACAGTCCAATACTTTAGAATACAAAATAAGACATGCCCCCACCTAGGCAGCCACAAAACAGATATATCCCCCCTCACCTAGGACTCCACACAAAAGACAAAAGATAAGACACTCCTTAAGGTCAACGGTCTAACTGTCAGAAGAGGGGGAATTACCCCCTTTACCCCTACGTACATATGTGTTCCTAATAGGAGGCCTAACAAAAGCATGCAAAGATTCTATGGACTTGTGGGGGTGGTTGTCTTAGTGTGGAGAATTTGGTTTGAAAAGAATATTTCGAGTAGAGAAAACCGATAGACAGATGTTTTGGGAAGTTGTAAAAATTTTTGCTTCTTCATGGGCTGCTAGTACAAAGGCTTTTTGTAATTATAGTGTCTCTCAAATCTTTGCCAATTGGGAGTCCTTTTTGTAATCCTTTTTGTACTGCCTCTTTTGTTAATGAAATTGATGTTTCTTATTAAAAAAAAAAAAAAAACTAAAAGATAGTGTATTAAAGAAAAGATTTTTGGTCTCTTACTTCAATCTCCTAATTAGATATGATGGAAAAAAATTAACATGACTTTTAATCCTCAAAGTTTAAATCAAACTTAAAAAACAAAACAAAAGAAAAATACAAAATATATATGTTCATAATAGATAACACAACATAGAATTTTTATCTTTACTTAATGCAAGAAAAATCATCTAAAAAATAAAAATAATTTACGAAGTGTTATGAAGACACTTCGTGAAAAATAAAAAATAAAACAACATTTTTAGTTTTTACGTTGTTGCTTGCAGCCAGCTAGTCGGTCAGAGAGAGTTGGAGGGAGACAAAGATCGTCGCTTGGAGATGGAGGCTTCTATACGGTGTTTGCTTTGTCATTCGTGCCATGCATTTGCATTTTTTTTTTTTGCTTCCTGGCTCCTGATTCCTTCTATGATAAGTTAAAAACTTTTTTTTTTAATTTTTTTAAAGTATCGTAGGCAAACACGCCAGGGAATGGGAAAACACGTAAGGCTGGCTAAGCTTTGAGTTTTACTTGAATATGGACTTTAGGGCTTGGGTGCTAACAAATAGGGTTTTAATGAAAAAAAATGATGAAGCTTTAATTGGTTGGATCAGGTTTTACTTGATTTGGGTAAGCCAAAACCTACTCCAATTGATTATGTTTGGTTTATACTGTTGGTTGAATAAGCCAGTCCCTTGAAACGAACTTTTCAATGACAATATAGAAAAATGTTCAAGTATACCAACTTCCAAAAGGAGTAAAAAGAAAACTATGACCAAAGTGGTCAATAAGGGCTAATGTAAATAGCAAAGGATTTAGAGGGAAGGTGGCCACCTACCTACAATTTAATATCTTACGAGTTACCTTATCAATCAAATGTAGTAGAGTCAGACGGTTGGCTAGTGATTAGTCGAGGTGCGTGCAAGTTAGCCCGGACACACGGATATATATAAAAAAGAAGAAGAAGAAGAAGAAAAAGGAGTAAAAAGAAAACCAAACAACCAAACAAGCAAGGTCAAGTTATTCAAATATGACAAGAAATGAAAAACAGAATCGTTTGGGGAGGTCTTGGAAAGCCTAAAAGCCATATTAGCATAGTCTACAACCACCAAGCTGCAAAAACAGCACGAAGCAAATGGCCAGGAAAAGGATCAACTAGAAAACTTAATATTTTTCTCGAGAGAGACTGTTGACCATTAACATAATAGGAGACACCTCGCTAGCAGCTCCCACATCCCAACCCGTTGCGATTCCAATATGGGCAGTAGCCATTTGACCCCATACAACATTTTTTTGGGTAAAAACATTTACTTACCACAAAAACATGTACGTGTTAATTGGTTGCCTAGATAAAGAGCCATCAACATGACTAGTATCTTTCCGGATGCCATCTTCAAACTAATAAGACCAGTCAGAATATTATCTATTCCAACATAAACCATTGGTTGAGTTAAGATAGAAATGATCGACGACAACTCCATGTCTCTAATTCCAGTCCAATGTTCTGACGGATATTATTTCGTTTTCTACAATTGCAACAGCAACAGAACCTGGTTCTATGATTGTTCCTTCAACCTTCAAAATTCAACCATTAACAACTCGAGTAGCTTCACGGATACCATTGTCACAATAGATGTCACAACAGTTAAGGTCCTGGTTTTATCAAAGACAACAGTATTATCCATCATTGTAACAGCCATTTAGCACTTCTTTATTGATAATTATGCTTTTGTCCCACAGTATGAGAGGACCACCAGATTTGCCAATTGAATCAAATTCTGCCCAACCAATATCTTTCGAACACCGAATTGAATTTATCAGCATCCTCTCAATTTTCTCGAAATCTTGAAAAAGCACATTATCAAGGCAATGCTGCTGCAAGAAATTCTTCAATGTATTTTTACTGTTCACCCGAACCTTTTTTATTCCCTGAAATTATCTTCATGGGAGATGATTTTCTGATTTTGATTGATTGTTTGGGACGAGTTCGTAGACTTCTAACCCACAATCTTGAATGAAGGAAGAGAATTTTGAAATGTCAGAAACGAGGTTGGAAGATGAAGGGACAAGATTGCTGCAATCCCTCGGAATAGGATCCTTCATCTTCTTTGAACTCATCATCATTTCTGATTTTTATCTTCTTCATTTATATTAGGAAAGAGTTGGTTTGAATCACAAGTGCTAATACTTATACTTGATTTAGATGGAATAAATATTGTATTCCAAAATGAGAAATACATATCCTCATTGTATAGAAGAAAGACTCAATACAAAAAAGGAAATAAGAATAAAATAACCATTAATATTTACAGCTAGTATTCACAAATATAAACAAACACTCATCCTCAGACTTGTTTAAAGATATCTTCGATTGATAGCTTGTCAATCATCTTGTCAAATTGTACTTTTGGTAGTCCTTTTTGTCAACACATCAGAAGTCTGCTCTATTGTTTGGAGATAAGAGATACATATCACACTAGTGTCAACTTTTCCTTTATGAAATATTTGTCAATTTCAATATGCTTAGTCCTATCATGTTGAACTGGATCGTGGGCTTTGGAGATGGCAACCTTGTCGCAATAAACCCATATGAGTGCCTTTTGAAAGACTGTCAATTCTTCAAGTAACTTTTTTATCCATATCCCTTCACAAATACTGTGGGCTAAGGTCCTAAATTCTGCTTCAGCTTCTAGCCACTAAATTTTGTTTTTTACTTCGCCAAGTAACTAAGTATGGAGACATGTAAATATGAAGATATTTTCCAACAAAACTACTTGAGATAAATGAAGAGGTAACAGAACATTACAACTCACATCTTCAACTAAGAATAAACCTTTATCAACCCAGAAAATACTACTGATCTCCGTTAATCTTGAGACTATAGCTTACCTAATTTGAATCATCCTTGATGAGCAAACCTTGAAAACATGAAACCCTATCACTGGGGTCATGGAGACGACTGGTAACTTCTAAAGCAAGTTTATCACATTCCTAAGGATGGAGACATGTTCATGGTGAGGGCGGAGGAGAACTCATGGAGAGAGGGGTCCCACTCAGAAACATTAACAGCTCATCTCTGGAGACAAGACATTGTGATTTTTTGTTTCTTATTATTTCTTTTACTTTGTCCAAATGTTAATGAAATTTATATCTCCATTATCTTTTCCCCATATACTCTATATATAATATAAAAAAAAAGTATTTTGACATAAAATGGCAAACGTTTTATTTTTTAAAAAATAATTTTCCACTAAGTCTTTCATTTTTCTAAGAATTCTTTATTTATTTTTATTTTCTAGAGAACACAATATAAAAATGATTATGCATTTCTTTTTGTTCAAGTGAAAAAGAAAACAAAAAAAATGAGGAATGGGGTTTTCAAACACGTTTTAGATCTCCTAAAAGAATGAGTAAGAAACAAGAAAGAGGAAATAAAAATGCTGTTACTAAATCACTTTTAACTCAAGTCCAGAGTTATACAGATGTCAGTAACTTACTAACTTCACCTTGGGTAGACTTTGGTTCTGGAGACTGGAGAGTAAGGTGGAGATTTTAATTTTTCAGTTTATTCTATCAATATTCATCATTATGTACCTGCCGCATGATCAACAATATTATGCTTTATTTCCCCATGAACTGGTTTTACATATCAATTTCTGCTGCAGGAGAAGGACATACTGGAAATTAAAAAGTCTCTCATGGATGGATATCATCATACCTATTGGACTTGTAGTGTTTCTAAACTTGGTTATTCTGGAACTGCAATCATATCCCGGGTATGATTTCCTTTTCTCATATTTGAACAACAAATTCCTGTACAAGAAAGAAAAAAGTTGTCAGCCTGATCATCTAAGATGTGTATTTCATTGTGTATCAAGTCCTGGATTCTACTTGCATGATCACCTATTTAGGATATTAATATTCTATAAATTATTTGACTCTGAAAGTTAGGGTGACAAAAAAATAGTCCTGCAGGGTTTGGCAGCATTGAGAGAGGAAGAGTTGTCAGTGTCATTAATTATAGTGCATTTCATTGTGCAATTTTTTAATTTTAATTTTTGTTTTATCATTGTTTTCAGAACATGCGTTTGTTTGAGATGCTTGTAGAAACTTGGAGACTTGGAGTCTATATATTAAAAATATAGACAAAATTATATCTTACTGATTAGTGATTGCATAATGAGTACGTTGTTTTAGTTTCTAACTAGTGTGGTTGGTCTGATCATGAAAAAGCAAATTGTAAACTCAAAATTCTTTTGAGGCATTTATTAGTAGCTATACATTTAAGCTACTCGACAGCCTATGAGTTTCTTGATTTTATAAGTCGTAGAGCGAGGCAATAATCTTGTAGGTTCAGTTAGGTAATAGTTTCGTGGATTATCATCAAGGTTCGAGAAAGTCATCTGTTGGGTTATGATTTATGAATGAATGATACATATTATTGCCCTTTCTTTTGATCAACGTCCACCTCTTTTTGCTTCTTCATTATACCTTAAATTTTACAAGTTTCTAAAGATTCTATTTTACGTAGACATTTGTAGTTACTTGTTAAACAACCACAATGATGGTGCAAGTATACACCTAGTAGTTGTAGAAAATGATAAAAGTTGTCCCCACAGGGTCGATTGAAATTAATATTCCTTTTTGTTATTAATAGGTTAAGGTAACCAAACAACTAACTAAAATTATAAAGAACTTAAACCAACTTAAAGAACATTCAAAGCATTTCAGGTTAAGTGAGGAAGGAAGTGTAATGGTGATTAAAAAGGGGCAAGGATAATGGTTGTGCTGCTACTAATATTGTTGCCAATACTGTAGCAATTTAGTGGCTTTATTCTCTTCAACCTAGATGTCTAGTAATTTTTCCAAACCACACAGATTTGTGAATACATATTTCCATATAGTTTAACAACTTTTAAGGGCCGGCTTTCAGTTGTACTCGGTAAGGGGTTATTCCAACCTCTTACTATCAATTTGAAAGATGATTTACAGCATTATTTAAGGGTATCTATCCTGCCCTTTTTTTCCTAAATGCAGCAGAACTTTTGTTCCATTAATGGTAACCAAACATTAAGAAACTGAAGCAAGAAATACACCATGAACACAGAGTAATAAGCAATAAATAGCTACAACAAAAGTTTCATTAAAAACAGCTTCTCGTAATTCTTGCCGTAAGTAACTTAGCTCATGCTTCCAACAAACAGAAGATAAAATAAAATAATACAGCCCATTGTATTTAAGAAAGCTAAGAAGAGGATGAGGTAAAGAATATAATAAGGAACACTGTTTTATTCGAAGGTTAGCAGTAGAGATTCCTTGCCCGTTTTGTCTTTTTCTTCTTCCTTTCCCCGGAGTAGATCTCCTCTCTCTTACTTCCTTTTTTTCCTCACCAGGCTCTCTCCTCTGCCTGGCGGCTCCCTTGCATTTAATCCATTCTAAGCGCTTTCAGGTTGTAGGCATAAGGGCTGAGGTGGCCATTCTTCTTACGTGTTCTCCTGTGGTTGGCTACTTCAGTGTGAATCAGCCGTCCAATTCTAGCTCAATTAATGAAGTGCCCCACAAGCTATCTGCTGGCAACTTCTTCTTTAAGCTCCTATGCTCCAGCATCACTTGCATTAGCACAATTCAGCTTTTAAATCAAGTCGTTCTTTTGACTTATCAACAAATCAGAACACATCACTATATTCTTCTAGCTTAAGCTCAAGCCTTTCTATCTAAAAGCTAAAGTGAGATCCAATTTAGGCATTGTCAACACTAAAATATAAGTTCAAGGGCCTGAAATGAGTTTAAATAACTATTTTTCTAAGAGTGATCATTATTACCATCATATTTCCTATATTTCATAATGGTTCCCTTTAGTTTGCTGAAATAAGATGTATTACAGATACAACCACTTTCAGTCAGATATGGTGTAGGCATATCAGAACACGACGGTGAAGGGCGGCTTGTGGTGGCGGAGTTTGATTCATTTTTTTTATTAAGTGTTTATGTTCCTAATTCTGGAGATGGATTAAAGAGACTGGTATTGACTTCTTTCAACTGTGGCTCTTTATTCTAGCCCGATATCTTAGTTACATGAATTCTTGATTTTATGGTCTTAGTTTCTTAATTTGAACCCTCTTCTTGCATTTATATGTTTGATTTCATTTCTAGTCATACAGGATTACCCAGTGGGATCTATCTCTCAGTAAGTATATTAAGGTAAGTGTGAAATGATTATTCTTCCATTTTATTTCTTAATGAATTCTGATGTTACATGGTTAGTGTGAGTTAGAGATGAGTTGTGGAATGGTGAAAAGTGCTCTAAGCTAACTAAAAGCACTTTTTCAATTATTTTTTTTGAGAACGTTTTTAAACAAGCATAAGATTCGATGCACATCGTCAACCACATGGCTTTGAAACTGACCACAAAACCCTAACCAGAGAGAGACACTACTCTCGTTCCATTAACAACACTAGAAGAACTTCTATTCTTTTTTTTTTTTTTAAACCAAAAAATAAAAAGGAAAGAAAACTCAATTTTCTGAGAGCTCCAGAAAGTAAGAGAAACTGGGTCCCCCTCAGTTGAGATATACTGGGGGCAAAAATAAAACTTTCCTAATTCCTTTCTTCCCTCATCAACTATTATCTTCTCCTGCCATTACAAATGGCCTTCTACCACAACTCATATAACATAGCTTTAATAGCATTCAGCCACAGCAGATTAGCTTTAGGAGGCAAAGATGGCCCGAGAAGAAGTTGAGTAAGATTATTTACTGCATTCCAATCGAACGCCCAAGAGAAATTGAACTCTTGGAATAGTAAAGACCAACAATTCTGAGCATAAGGGCAGAAAAAGAACAAATGCAGCAGGTTTTCACCAAAAGATTGGCAGAATACACAAATGGAAGGTGAAAGGCAGCATTCAGAAAGCTTCTTTTGGAGAACATCCGCTCTACTGAATTTTCTGAACAGAAAAATCCAAATGAAGAAGCTGACCTTCTTTGGACTTTTGGTTTTCCAAATGGCTTGCAATAACTGGGATGACATGGCCTCAGAGGAAGACAACCTGCACAATGAGGCAACTGAAAATTCCCCAGATGGCTCCAAAGACCATATTCCGGTATCAGCCTGATTGTTAAGAACAAATGGGTTTAAAAGGGAGACTAATGAGATAAATTCATCAATTTCCTCGTCTTTTAACATCCTCTGAGTCCGAATTCTCCAAGAAAGAGTGGCTTTGTCCCAAAAGTCATCAACAGTCCCATGGGGGGATAAAGATAGAAGATAGATATTAGGAAATCTATCCTTCAGAGGCTGATGACAAGTCCTATAATGGGGCCCTCATTGGAAAGATTGTAAGCTTGGAGTTGTCCTAACTAGAAATGCACATTGGCCATGCCTTCCAGGACACACCCTTCTGTTAGGTACCCGAATACAAAAATCTAACAAGAACACTATATTGCAATACCAAAGAGTAATTACAAGAACCAATAGCCTTTCGAGAGGGCTATCTCTCTCCCGAAGAACTCTCTCAAGTTCCCTACCAAAATACTATTCTCCAAGATCTTCTACTTCTCCCCTACTACCCATATTTATAACCAACTTACCCCTAACTAATTACCTTATTACCCCTAACCCATATACTAATATCATTCCTTAACTAACCCTAATAGGACTCTCACATTACCCCGCCCTTCAAAGACACCTTGTCCTCAAGGTGTGCATACACAAAAACAAATTTACTATTATTTTATTTTATTTATTTTTTATTTTTTACTCACTAAACACCAACAAAATTAGAGACCTAGCATATCTCAAACCCTAGATGAAC